ATTGTACAGAAACGCTTGTGTTGGATCCGTTCGAAACGTGCAAGTGGAAGACAAAACCGATAGAGAAAATTGAGCGGTTTGTCAAAGGTTCCACGATCGCTGCCAGGATGGAAAAGGTTCGTCAATTGTGTTATATTGTTAATAATAATATATCTCTTTCATCGATATTCTGGTTATTATTGGTCCAGATCATCTGAGGTATTTTTCAGAACGAAAAGAACATGACCTTCCAAAAACGCACAATGAGGACGAATGACTATGTCAAAGAACACTTCTTCATGCGGAAAAAGGTCAAAACGTATAAAGGCGATGACTGGGTGAGTGTTGCATGGTGGATCATTTCACAAATCTGGCTTATGCTAATATTGTTTTATAGCAAACTGACGCTCTCTATCGGTTTATTGTTGCCGTTATGAAGAGAAGAGCTGAAGCAAAACGTGAAAGCAGAAAAGCAAAGCCGAAAGCGTTGGCAGAAGGTTGGTTCACCAACAGTTCGCAGTTGTTCTGAATTTTTTGACTGGATTTTTGTTATTTTTGGAATCACAGAGAAAATTTTCCATTCTTTCTTGCTAACTTTTGCCCATACGAGATCCTTTTCCTGTAGTTCACTTTTTGGTGTAAAGAGTTGGCGAGGAACTAAGTAAATTCACTTTTCGGTGAATAGAGTTGGCAAGGAAGTGAAACGATTCATTTATCAAAAGTTGGCATTCAGTCGATTGAAGTAAAAATAGTTGACAGATTAGGGACATCAAGGTCTATATCATGAAATTCCCTTGGCATTGGAAGACAGCGTATTGAGTTCCTTGATGAGTCCTTTCAAAGGGTTCGGTTATGCGTTGTTAGTTATACAGGAATAAGCCTCGAAATAGCAAGCGCTGAATCCTGATGGCTAGTTCAAGATCGCTTAGGATTAAGGCTAGAAAGAAATCTTCTTCCCCTTAATGGAGTTTGAGACTGACCTCTTCCGAGAAAGTCTCCATATAAAAACTCATTTTCCGACTTTTAATGTTTTTACCTATCAGCCGTCTACAACGAAGACGATGATGGCAACTATGGCTGTGATGACGACGGCGACGATTACGCTGACGTCAACGAAGAACCCGAGAATAACGAAAATATTCCCCGGGCGCAATCGTCGCAGAAATATCTAAAGCGAAAGGCATGACAGTCAAAAAAGCGCGGAAAGTAGGTTCAAGCGGGTGTGAGAGTAAATGCTTGCTTATTGGTGAATTCCATCCTGTTGAGGAAAAGAAAGTTGAAATCCAGTTTTTCTTCCGTTGATAATGGACTGCATTGACTGTTCCTGGCCTTAAAAAGTAATTCGTGCCTAAAAAAACGAATTAATAAAAATCTACTCGCAGCTATTCGGTCGCTCTTGATTAGACGTCATCATATCAGGGCTATAGTGGTTTAGTGTTTTTGGTCTTCTCGTTAATGCTTTTCTCATTTTTCAATTTTGCTTTTGCGCTTACCGAGACTTAGGTACAAGGTGTTCCGTGGAATTATTTTACCGTCAAGCTCTTAATTTTTAGGTGCGAAAATCTGCTCCTATAATTGAGCTGATGTTTGGTGATATAGAAGACGATGATCTCGATAACTCAATAAATATCGATTCTTTATATGGAGGTTAGCCAGATTTGTCTCCAAATAAACTTTTTCCTTCTTTCATTTCTTTTGCGATGCGTAATCATAAGAACTCTTGAACAAAGTTTTTTTTTGTTGATGAGACAGTCCCTAGACATGTGCTATTCCTAACTATGTGAAAGGTGAGAAGCTCCCGAAGCTGTTCATAATCGGAGGTTTTGCAGGAAGAAGTTATTGATTCAGAACAGTTCGACAAAGTAGGGCACGATATAGTCCAATACGACTTGCTCCAATTTTGGCATGGAATTTCGACGTGTAGAATTTGTTTTAGCCTGCCCAAGCTTACAGTAACTTTCATTAGGCTTACGTTTCGGCCTCTTCGCCTTCGTCAAAGCCTGAAAAATTGAAAGGCAATTGAGGCTGATTCTGTCATGAGGTAAGCAATCCTGGAGACAAATTCTCTAGGATGGCAAACCAACAGAAAGTACTGCATGTAGAGGGGTTCTTGCAATGAATCAGGGGATGTAATGTTGTAAATTTTGTTTGTCAATGTTGTAATTCTTGCAATGAAGATGGTATTCTATTACTTGCCTTTGCACGCTAGATTGAATTAATTGCGAGATTAGCGTGCGATTGCATTTTTGAAATGAGGTCTACGTGCACACATTGCCGATTTCATGTGCCAACCGCAGTCGCGCAGAATAGGGCGGCTACACTCTTTTTATTTTTTCTCAATCTTCTGTTACTGTTTGTGCCCATTTTCGACATCAAAAGTCATTAATGAATTTGTTAATAGATCAGAGATTGCTATAGAAAGAAAGAAAAGGATTAGGGGAACCCCACGATGCGGCGGTTTGCAATATGTTGATTTTTGATGCGCTAGAATTGAGAATTTCGTGTTATGACTGCCTTTCCTACTTTTCAGGATGTGCTCCTTCGCAGGGAGGAAGTCAGCCAATAGGAGATAAGACAGGAACAGGAAAGAAAAAATTCAGCCTTTTGGAGCTTCTGCACGAACACATGTTGAAGTGCGTTCCACTGAAGATTACGTTTTTCACCTCCACACTCATTCATTTTTTCTGCTATGAAATTTTCCTTTTTGATCTACGACGTTTCCTTCATGGTTACATTTGTATTTTCTAAAAGGTGTTTTAGAGAAAAGACAATAGTGCCGTACTCCTGATGTGTTTCGACTCCTCAAGGAGTGCTACTTTCATTTTTCTTCTAGGTACTGGTCCACGACTGAGGAGGTCACATCTGATTTGGTTGCGCGTGTGCAGGAATGGGAAGAAACTATGATGCCTATTCTTGAAGAGGAGGAGACTAGAAAAGAGTTCGATATCCATGAATATGGTGACGAGCTGCTAAGCATGTTCAAGGAGGTTGGCGAGACGAAAACACTTGATGAGGTTAGCTTTTGTTTGCAGGTAGCCTCATTTCTAAAGATGCCAATTTTTCATTTTTTCAGTTGTTGATTGGTAGGAAGAAATACGAAGTCAGCCGATACTTCCTTGCTTGTCTTATGATGGCAAACACGTATAACGTCCGTGTTGATCATGAGATTAGAAAAGAAAATGGGGTCGAGACTCCGATAATGATGATCACGCTGTTGAAGAAGGACAGACACCATGAAGTTTTTGACAAAGCCGGGGCTTTGTGACATTTTGTTTCTTATCTGAGTACTGATGTATAGGATTTTTAATGTATTTAAGGGCATGCATCTTTCTTTGTATCTACATTGTCTTTCTATTATTGTTCATTATTAGGAATGGTTTCAGTGCTTCACTGGCTCATAACCTCACTTAATATGGAAAAAACGGATCATCGATCTCGTTTGTATTATGTTCATTATATCCCAATGTTATTGCGCTCGAATTTATTGATAATAAAAATGTTCGACGTTACTTCGGTGACGGTGGTGGCATCCTTGGTTGACCAAATCGATTACCTCAGAGTTTGCTTCCGCTTGGTTTTTGGGTTTCTTATTATTTTTTTCTTCTTTTCAATATGACTGTTATAGTAGCAATGTCTTTGTGGGTGGATAGATATCGGCCAAAGAAGTTGAGCGAGTTGTCCTATCATTTGGAGCAGGTAGAATTTGAAGTCTTGTATGTATAAGTGTAGCCGACTTGTTGTCATTTGATCTTATGTTCAGGCATGCGATTTGGCCGAGCTGGTGAAGTCCGATGACTTTCCTCATCTTCTTGTCCACGGTCCATCTGGTGCAGGGAAAAGAACGCGAATTCACTGCATTTTAAGGTGAACTCATTTGAGTAGTAGATGAGCGCTACCAATTGGCCCAATTTATTTATTCAGGTTATGATTTGTCAATTTATAATTATACGCTGATTCTTAGGGAACTTTACGGAGCAGGAGCAGAGCGACTGCACCTCGACAAAAAATCACTTGTGACACCTTCTAATAGAAAAATTGAAATCGACACTGTTAGCAGTAACTACCATATTGAAATTAATCCTGGGTATGTTAGCTTCAAGTTCCTTTCTGTTACCAGATGTCTTTTTTATTTTTATTGCTGCCATTTTATCGAAGTATCAGTAGAACCGCATATCGGAGACTGAGAGAAATTCGAGCGCCTAACTGAAAAGAGTCGCAGGTGCTTGTTACGGATCGTGCGTCAAGCATTTCACTTTCCTTTTCTGGTTCATTTCTACGCTAATTTGTTACTGCTTCATAGATGGAAACTTGGCATCTCTTTTGAAGACACACTTCAGAGTTAAGTTGGTACGGTTATTTTGCTCAAAAAAATGATGTAGGTGCGAAATTTCCCTAGGTAGAAAAAACTTGCAAGGGAACCGGCGAAACACTGAATGTAAAGGCCCTTTTTCTGTAAGCTGTGGAGGATACTAATCGTAAGAGGCAGATACCAGATAGGAAATGCTGAGGATTGCGGAGAGGGAGGAGAATAGGTAGCGAGAGAGCCAGGGTACTAGCGAGAGGCGATTTGGGCTAGACTTCAATTCATGGGCGGAATCCCGTGTGAAATCTGACGCCCTAGCGTATCCTTGCCGATACCTCTATTTCTCTGATGTCAGAGCTTCAACTCACCTAATCTTGTGTTGCGTCTTTGATTCTTTCTATCTTGTGTAATTTCAACCACCTCAACCAGATGTGCGGATGTACAAATGGCTAAAAACTATTTGTATGTTCTATTTTTTTCACGGCACCCCCTGATTTTTCGTTTTTTAAGCGAGGTTGGCATCTACGATCGTGTTGTTGTGCAAGATGTTGTTAAGCAGATGGCACAGACTTCGCAAATCTCAAGTGCTACACAGAAAAGTTTCAAAGGTACGCGTTCTGAGTTAGAGGAATATTTAACTCCAATTCCGAATGGTGACGGCTTAAGAAACCAGAGCTTAACCAGAGAATTTCGCAAGATCCAGGAAAATAATACAATAGACGCACTTCGAAACAGTTTTTGGCACCTGTTCCCAATTATGACCGTCTCAGAACTTAAGCCTTGATTGACTTTGTTTACGAACACCAACCCTATCTTGGTTGAAGAATTAGGGCCAAGAATCGGAATGTTGATGAATTCTCATGTTTTTATTTGTTTCTTTTAGTCTCAGTGAGTTATTCAGCATGTGTTCATAGTTTTCAATGTACGTTTATTTCAGTAGTGGTGCTTATGGAGGCAGATCAGTTGACGCGAGATGCTCAGCATGCCCTTCGTCGTACTATGGAAAAATACTCCATGACCTGTCGTCTGATTCTCTGTTGTGAATCTCTGAGTCGAATTATCGGTCCGCTGAAGTCAAGATGCATGATTGTAAGAGTGGGCGCTCCGTCCGATGAAGAGGTTAGTGTTTTGAGGTCGTACTAGTATCCTATTGAGATTGTGTGGAACCCACTAAATGCTTGTTTGATACAAAAAACTAGTGCACGGCTCTAGGTGGATGCGGTGTGACCATTATTTGCGCACAATTTCCAATTCTGGTGAAACCGTAGGATTTTTTTGAGGTCGAGCTTATGTGAGAGCCCCTCCTCCTTTTTGCGTGATTGGCCGTTGGACATGGACTCAGACTTTTTTACCCACAAATGTGAGCTTCACATTTCAGATCAGAGATGTATGCACATCTGTCGCAGAAAGAGTAAGACTAACAGTACCGGATCCTGTTATGGACCAAGTAAGAGCGAGCTTACAGTTAGGACCACTATAAGGTACATTTCTTAAATTTCTATTTTCAGATAGTGGCAAAATCACGAGGAAATCTGCGACGTGCACTGCTGTCGATGGAAGCGGTGAAGAGAAAGGGAGTACCTATTAAAGAAACCGAACAGGTACGATACCCTGAGCGTGATAACAATTAATTCCCCGAATGCTAGTGGCATCTTTCAGGTACCAGAGCCTGAATGGGAAATCTACCTGCGTGAAACGGCAGAGTTGATGATCAAGAAGCAAAACAATGAGAATATTCTTGCAGTCAGTTAAATGCATCGTTCTTTTTGGCTTACTTTCGTACTGCTCATTATAATTGCTTTTTATTCTATTGTTTTAGGTTCGAGAACGTTTGTATGAATTGATCTCCCGTTGCATACAACCAAATTTGATATTTTTGGTAGGTTATTGTTACTTAGTCCAAAATATCTTCAATTATTCGTATGAGCACCGTCAGTTCAAGAAGTGTTCGTAATAGTTCGGCATGCGTGTGTGTGCGGAGGCTGGCTCGCATATAAGTTACCAATGTCGTCGCTTGGTGTTGAGCGATCGCTGT